ATCTTTAGACGGATCAGATACAGCTTATTGTAAACTGTGTCAGTGGGCTATTGTACCAATAATTAGTAACATTTAATCATTAGAAAAATCCTAAAAATACAGGATAAAAACCATGTCTGCATCCACCATAACCTCTGCAAAAGCAATAAATATCGGAGAGATTTAAGATCCAAAACCGTCGGAAAGCGGGCGTGTGTAAGAGAGAGAGAAAAAAAAAAAAAAAGAAAGAAAGAAAGAAAGAAAGAAAGAAGTGGGTGAAATAGAGAGAAAGAGAATGTGGTCATCTGTATGGACTTTTCTTTTCAAAAATGACCTTGGCTTCCAGGTCGACTCAGTCTTGAGTGGGTACCAGGTGCAGGCCTGGGAAGTAAAGGCAGCCGGCGTGATTCTTACCTCATCTCCCATCTTGTGCCGTTGGTCTATAAAATATAGGTCTAGCCTTATATACCCAATAGGCCTGAAAGGTTACCCTCTGTACTTACATTTGTATCCACACAATCAAGGGGCATAATAAAGCTGATTTTATCGATGAAAACGTCAAAAGTTCGCTACCATGTTTTTTCAACTCTGTAGGTATCAATATGTTACTTCCCCGTGTGTGTTCCCGGGCCTCATTGTGGGGGAAAATAAGAATCGACCGACTGCCTCCCCTAAAGCATGTCGTAAGAGTCGACTAAGTGGGGAGCTTCCTTTGAAGTCAGTGTACGTCTGCTGAGAGGCAAGGAATCTTCAGTATGCATTCAAGTGAATCATATCTGTAAAACTGATGCACACGCAACACTCAGGTAATGGAGATGGACCGCAGTTCAGAAGTGGTCGAACAATCAGAACTAGAGTGTACAGCGAGTGAGCACAAAGAAGAAGAAAAAGAAGAAGAAGAAGAAGAAGAAGAAGAAGAAGAAGAAGAAGAAGAAGAAGAAGAAGAAGAAGAAGAAGAAGAAGAAGAAGAAGAAGAAGAAGAAGAAGAACAAAAAGAAATAGAAGAAGAAGAAAAAAAGAAATAGAAAAAGAAAAAGAAGAAGAAAGAAGAACAAAAAGAAATAGAAGAAGAAGAAAAAAAGAAATAGAAAAAGAAAAAGAAGAAGAAATAGAAGAAGAAGAAGAAGAAGAAGAAGAAGAAGAAGAAGAAGAAGAAGAAGAAGAAGAAGAAGAAGAAGAAGAAGAAGAAGAAGAAGAAGAAGAAGAAGAAGAGGAAGAAGAAGAAGAACTATGTTACTGTATGGCCTCCCTCTTCTAAAAGTGAGTTACAGAGGCGACTCATATTTTGTACAGCAATTCCTATTCATGTGAACGTATATCTCAGCGTTTTGTCTTGGTGTGTATCTTCTGTCCTGATCTATAAGCTTATCCTAATATTTATCATCATTACAAGCCCCACCAAACCACCACCATCGTCATCATCATCGCCACCATGCTAATTGTTTTCATCATCATCATCGTCATCGTATAGCAGATCATTTTCAGAATATCGTTCCATTACTGTAAGCCAGAAATGCTTTATAGAGTAGCCCAGTATAATTGATATCTGGTTGCACGCATTTTTTTTTTCAAGTCACTCATGTTTGATTTCCTTCAGAAATGCCGCTCATCGAGTCACCAGATTTTAATATTACAGGCTGCAATTATAGCTTTGATATATATATATATATATATATATATATAATATATATATATATATATATATATATATTTATATTTATATATATATATATATATAATTTCAGATTCACAATGTTGCCATCTTGTGTTTACATTTCTTTTTACTATTTCTCTATGTTGCGTATGTGCGTCTATTTTGGTCTGTGTGTATCTGTGTTTGCGTGAATTTTGTGTCTATGTGCATTGTGTGCGTGAATGTGTCGCCGGTGCTACAGAGCCTGTGCACTGTGCTAAGCTTCTTCGGACTCAGACTTTAGTTACAAGAAAAACGGAGCACCTATGGGTTACTAACTATGGGCAATGATGTTGATTCCTTGTTCAAAACCTCAAACCTGATTTAGATTGATGCAGGTGTAGCCTTTACATGAAAACTCCACACTCTTTTCGGTATGCCTCGTGGTTTGCTCCAAGTTAATTCGTTTTGTAGGCAGTTATATTGCTTTCTCTCTAGGTGCCCAGCCAAATTATTCCAAGTGGCTAGTTTGCCTCGTGCGCTTGAGGTTGTGGGATCGTTTTAAGGTGCATCGTTCTCTAATGCACTCTTTCACTAAAATCTATTGAATCGTCGCCGGGATTACTGAGTTCACACTAAGGTCTCGGTAGGTCTATAGCCGTTCTGCAGAGAGACAGCGAGCCATGAAGGACAATACCGTGGTTCAATAAAGCGTGATTTAAGTAATTTGTGATGATTTTAAAAGATTACAAATTCCGTTGTTGCTTCCCACTCCCCATTCTATGCTGTTGGAATCTTTGATGGGTCAAACGACACTGGTTAGCGGAAAAACCCGCAAACACATGTGTTGAAAGCGTGGGGCCGTTGAGACAGATGCACACACAAAAGTGTGAGATTCGCCATTATTGTTTTCAGTTTTTGCATGAACCAGCAACGTTTTACGAACCCTGTTATGTTTCATATTGTAAGTAAGCTGTGTTTGATAAATAGTACTGACATAGCAGTCATACTGTGTCAGAGTCGCATGCTTTAAGGTTTACATCCATTCAGAGGTGCAAATGGATCAACGCAGCCTGGTGAGAGTGAAGTGAAGTGATGCAGCGGGAAGTGACGAGGGTATCTGGCCGATACTATACTCGACTCTCAGATGAAAGGCAAAACGGATGTATAGTCAGAATGCTACTTGCACATTCGTGCCAGACCTTTACACTGGCTGCTGAAGATGGGAACGGAGCGCTTACATGAATGCCTCGAATGCTGTGATGTCGGTCGTTTACGGGAATGCCTTGAGTCTTGAGTGCTGCGATGTCGGTTCTCGAATCAACTCAGGTCAATTCAACAAGTTATTTATCAATTGGCACTCAAAAAGTGTCGAGATCAACGCCAGGCAATGCCGCTTTATTTCCGAGAAAACTCATAACCATTGAACTATTTTAAAGTCTGAAACAGATCACCCTCTATATCGCCAAGGGGAGCATAGATGAAGATCCTTAAAACTAACGCACGTCAAGTGGTGATAGCCATCGCAGTTGCTCACCCCATCTTCTTCCCATCTTTTTAACTTCACTCCTAGCTCCCTTTTCCATGCGTTTTTCGGTCTGTCTCTATTTCTGTATCATTGTAGGTTCAAGTGAAAAAACATTCTACTTACAATTTTCCTAGGCTTTCTTAACGTGTGTCCTCTCCAAAGCCAGGGTCTTTTCCTCACCTTAGTCCAATGGAACCTGTTTAATTCTCTCCCAAAGCATAACATTAGTGATGCTATTGTACCGTTTGATTCCCCTTTTCATACGCAGGCACCAGTTAATAAACGTTTTTAATTAATTAATAACTGTTTTAGTTGTTCTCAATGTTTCCGCTCCACTTAACAGTACTGATTGACTTATAAATGAAAGATTTTAAGTTTATCGTTAGTTTTGATTTATTTTGACGTTCACAAATTGTCTAGTACCATTTCCTTTTTTTTTTTTTTTTTTTTTTTGTATTCATATGTTAATATCTCTTTCAGGTCTCCCATGTTTAATTACATTACTGCCCAAATAGGTGTGCGACTCCACATCTTCTAGTGGAATACCATTAAGAGAGTCCACATTGGCAACTCACCTGGCATTCTCATCTCATATGTCAAGAGTGTGCGTGACGTAGATTGGGACATCATCATCATGTTCATCAATTTTTGTCCCCTGACGTGGGTTGTTATGCCTCTCCACAATCTACAAGCTGTGGATAATCTTCTCGCGTTGTCTTTCCCTGTCATCTCTTGTCCACATATCTTTCCAGTGGTCACATTTCCTTCATAAAATGAGCAACCGATTTTGAATCACATTGTCTGATGTTTGAATAAAAATAATAATAATAATAATAATAATAATAATAATAATAATAATAATAATAATAATAATAATAATAATAATAATAATAATTGTGGGTGCTTTTTTAATATCTTACCCCAAACAGGAGAAATCCACTGGCCAAGGGACAGTCTAATATTTCAGGGGGTGGTAGATAAGCTGCATGCATTCGTGGGACTTAGGATGCACTCTATCGTAGGGCATAGCTGGGTTGGGGTTAGTGCAGTTCTAGGTGTTTTAGGGTCGTTAAAAGCATCAGAGGGCCGGAAAACCTATTCATACCACCCTAAAAAATGTTGGACTGTCCTATGACGTAATCTGCGATAGGATCTTACTAAAGAACATAATTATGAAAACATAATATATACAGCGGTAAGTGAAATCTGACCATAGTTTGTTTTGCGAACAAATTTGAAGAACGAAGTACATGGCTGTTAATGGTTGTCGTCTGATGACGTAATTCTTTGCACTCAAAACCGAATGGTGCTATCAGCTAAAGAAACATCTTGTTTCACAAACACGTGTTTCGAAATGGCGGTCGATAAACACAGATTGTTGCTCAAAGTTTTATAGCAAGATTTACTGATAAACAACATCCTCATCTCATTACGGTTAGATGTTTGTTGAATACAAAAATAATGTACAGATAACCGAGGACCTGAAAGAAGAAAATCAGAATTACCATTAAAGAAATAACAGCAGACATGGTGTAGAAGGTATTTGACAATATTAAGCGACGTGTACAATCAGGTATTGAAGCCCGAAGTGGACATTTCCAACACCGGTTTTAATTAATATTTCTTTGCTTGGTTACAGCTCCCCCAAAACAGCGTTAGGCCATAGCACTGTCATAACTAATTTACTGATTTTTACCACATTTTCTGAAAGATGTCACGTGCTTTTATTTTCAGATTTGTTCTTCATTACAAGGGTGGTTAGACTTTACAAACACCCTATATAACCGAGCATTACCCGTGATAATCTGCCTCACCTTCCACAACAAGTCCAGATAGTCAACTCGCACGTGGCGACTACAAATGACATTTATAGTACTTTTGTCTTTGGCATTCACCCTCGTCTTCTCTCAGTTGAATGGTAGGAAATGTTTTGTTATGCTCAAAGAACTGTCAGTTTTCAGTTTGTTCCAGTATGTTTTCTATGTTAAAGGAATTATCATTTCTCAGTGGTCTTGATTTTATTTTACTTTATTAAAGGAACAGATAATTAATAATGTTTTTGCAGTTTTATTGAGGCCAAAGGCAGTAAATCACAATATTCAAATGTCAATTTCAAAGATGATTGTTCATGTTAAACAAGAGATGCTTGATGGAAGACGCCGTCTGTGGCTGAGAGAGAGAGAGAGAGAGAGAGAGAGAGAGAGAGAGAGAGAGAGAGAGAGAGAGAGAGAGTAAGAGAGAGAGAGAGAGAGAGAGAGAGAGTAAGAGAGAGAGAGAGAGAGAGAGAGATTAATTGACACGCCCACATACATATACGTTCATGCACAATTGTTCATACCGACACATAGAAGCACCCAAAATTATGCATACACATAATTAACCCAAACTCATATATATGTACAAACACACGCAGACCCTTTATACACACATGTACTCACTCATACAGAAGCACACATCCACACACATACGTGCACACACGCGCGCATATGCATAAGCATAAGCATAAGCATAAGCAGTAAACTTCACACAAACACACCCACACAGACAAATCCACATAATACACTCATGAATACAAACGCATTTATACAGTTAAACATACTCATGCATACACAAACATAATATATACACACGTGTCTTATCATAGACAGTCACTCATATACACATACACGTTCACACATTCTCAAACATTCTTATATGCCCATACAAGCTCATACATACAAAAGAACCTAATCACAACACAATCACCAATACATACATGAACATGTGATCACACACAATCGCCCACACATACAAAAAACACCCACACGCACACAAGCATCCAATCATACAGAAACACCCATATAGAGAGAACGAGAGACAGACAGACAGACAGACAGACAGACAGACAGACAGACAGACAGACAGACAGACAGACAGACAGACAGACAGACAGACAGACAGACAGACAGACAGACAGACAGACAGACAGACAGACAGACAGACAGACAGACAGACAGACCGGCAGACAGACAGACAGACAGACAGACAGACAGACAGACAGACAGACAGACAGACAGACAGACAGACAGTCAGACAGACAGACAGACAGACAGACAGACAGACAGACAGACAGACAGACAGACAGACAGACAGACAGACAGACAGACAGACAGACAGACAGACAGACAGACAGACAGACAGAGCAAACAAACCAAGGAACCAACGAACTCTGCTTTTAAATTGACACAAAATTGTGCATGCGATCGGTGCAGTTCCTAAAACAACATTCAAGATTATCAGTGACACACAGACTACTCTTTCACCCCTTTGTTGTTGACGCTTACAAATCTGTTGAATCATGTTCTTTTTTCTTTTCCATTGTGATTTCACAGATAAACTACCAGAGATCGACACTGGTAAGTGGGCTAGATGTTTCATCATCCTCCTCATCATCATCATCATGCTCCTCCTCCTCCTTATCATCATCGTCGTCATCCTTCTCCTCCTCCTCCTCATCATCCTTGTCATCATCCTCCTCCTCCTCCTTCTCATCATTTTCATCATCATCATCATTATCATCATCGTGGACGTCGTCATCATCATCACTTTCTATGCTGCACACACTTGCTTTTATCAGTATTAGTAAACATCAGTGTGTATGGTACGTGCCGTTTATTTCATCACGGCTGCTACTTGAGACGTTAAACAGTCTGTGATCGAAAGATCGCAATCTGGATGGCAGACCAACAAACCTGAAGGTATGGCCACACCAGCTCGTTGTTACCTGAAGGTCCTGTGCCGATAAGCATGGGCCTCGTTTGGTTTTACATGTGATGCTAGGAGCAGACCTTTAGTATCATTGTGTAACAGCTGGTTCCCCACGTAATCTCACGAGAAGAGCTTTAGTATCATTATGTGAGTGCTGTACACAGCGGTCCCCCTTGTCATCCTACAAGAGTAGCTTTAGTATCATTATGTGAGTGCTGTACACAGTGGTCCCCCATGTCATCCTACAAGAGTAGCTTTAGTATCGTTATGTGAGTGCTATACACAGTGGTCCCCCATGTCATCCTACAAGAGTAGCTTTAGTATCATTATGTAAGTGCTGTACACAGCGGTCCCTCATGACATCCTACAAGAAGAGCTTTCGTATCATTATATATAGTGTACACCAGTGGTACCCCAAGTAGTCTCACGAGAAAAGCTTAAGTGTCATTATGTGAGTGCTGTACACCAGTGGTTCCCCATGTAGTCTCACGAGAAGAGCTTTGGTGTCATTATTTGAGTGCTGTATACCAGTGGTCTCCAAGTAGTCTCACGAGAAGGTCTTTAGTATCATTATGTGAGTGCTGTACACCAGTGGTCCCCCATGTAGTCTCACAAGAAAAGATTTAGTATCAATATGTGAGTGCTGTCCATTAGTACATCTGTACATCAACAGTCGAAGACGCATCTAAGACAGTGAAGATGCAATGCTTTGAAAGTACATAGGATTGGAGAAATGACTAGAGACAGTGAGACTTTCGGGAGTCCTGTGACCAAAGCGCCTTTCTGTAAAGGACCTGACGATTGATAATGATTGATCATAATAATGATGATGATAATGATGACATGTCTCTACCAGGGTCCACTTGCAAGGAACTGGAGAAACCGGAACACGGGATGTATCAGTGCCGTACGACGGAGGAGGGAGTGCAGTGCAAGCTAACCTGTGACGAGGGGTACACCTTACCCATCAATGAGTATAACAATGACGGCCAGGTAACGAAATGCTTGCATTGTGTCGTGTCTGTCTGCTGCTGAGATCATGCATTATGGGTACTCTAACCTGAGGTTCCATGCAGCTTGAGCCCGCAACCCTCCCTCCCCAATGTTTGAGGGGACTGATGCCCTCCACCTAATACTCCATGGGGCTCATACTAGGGGGGGGGGGGGGAAGCTGGGTTGAACCCCCAAACATCTAGACATTTTGCGACGGAGTAAGAGTCACTAACCATGTATGAACTTTAAGTTGTTAGCTATTTGTCTATACATATCATTTTACTAACGATATATCATTACATTTATGCCATTCAAAACATAATAATGTAAAAGTAATGGACCCTTTTCTCCACCTTCAGGCATTTGGGCATATGATACCACATCTATATTATATAAACCAATCAGCACTTGATCGGGCTCCGTCAGAACCCGAACCCACGACCTTCCGATCCACAGGCGAACATCTAACAACTATACTAAGACCGCTTCGCTTCAGTTCTTCTGTTTTTATGGCCCTTAAAGTCGATTTTCAGTCCTTTGGATGTCATCAATATCGTTAAAGAAGCGTCCTTTGGATCTTAACTTTAATTTTGGGATAGAAAAAAATCTCAGCTAGAAAATTTGGAGAGTAGTGTAGAAGGCTGAGAACACACACTTGTTTTAGAGCCAAACGTTCTTCTTCTGATGATGTCTCTTGGGTACTTAACCCGCTAATGTTTTTGGCCATCAGACAACAAATGTGGTACAAACCGACAAGCAACCTTTTTTTTCTTGCCAAAATCTTGCACTAAAATGTTGTGAATGGTCTCTCTATTAACACCAGATTCATCTGACATCATCCTCGCAGTAAAACAATGCTGTTTTTGTATCCGTTCTCTGACTTTTGGAAAAGTTTATAATTACGAACATAAATTTGGCGTCCAGGTATAGGTGCATTAGTTATCATTTTAACACCACTTCTGAATCGTGAATACCAACTGAAAATGTACGAGATGCACGAGATACACAACTATCATCATAAACTTGTAGCATCACTTCAACTTTTTCAGTGCGCCTTTTCTGAGTGTTAAAAAGAATATAATGTTAGCTTTTTGCTCCGTGCTGATAAAGTAACAATGCACCTCTGACTATATCAACAAAATGGCGACTTGTTTGTTGTCTGATTATCGAGCAGTAATGACAAGTTGTCAGATCAAAGATGAATGTTGACTTTGGATTCAATGCTTTGCTTCATAAATAGCATTTTTGTCTTGGCCATAATAAAATCAGTCTCATTACTTGTTTGTCGGACATTGTATGTCATACAATACATAAATTAACAGAATTAAGAGCTTTTTGTGCCGCTTAAACAAGCAGACTGAACGTTCTTAAGCTGTATACATGCGTATTTTAAAGTTCTTTTTTTTTTTAAAATCCAAAGCTTGAAGTAATAAGCGTTTGCATGAGGATGTTTTTAAATGATAGCACAATAAGCAAAAGTAATATAAAAAAATCCTCCTATTGTCCTAAACAAAACAATAATCCTGTGACTAAATGTCTCAATTTGGAAAACTTGTTTTTTTTTTTTAAACGCTGAGGGATGTAATCACTAAATACAGAGTAGATAGTCAACTGAATTCCTCCCCTTTGGCCATCTAAAAGTAGTTTTGATCGCTTTGCCTCAGAAAGTAATGTAAGATTAATAATGAAATTATATTTCGCCGCAATAAATCCGTAGTTTGAAAAAGAATAGTTTTTTTCTGATATTAAATAGTAAGTAAAAGTAGTTGGGGTAAACATAGTCACAACCACTGTGTTAATGCATTTACAGGCAGCAACAAAGCTGTAGTTTGTGGTCTTGTTACAGTCGTTTCCATGTGGGATGCAATTTTTCATTTTTGTAAAGCCCCACTATAGTTTTGCCGGGGGCATTTAAAATATAGCTGGGCCTTAAATATGGCCTAATGGCTGAACGGGATTTTCATGACCTCTTCACGAATGATCCTCATCCGCATGGTGGCTCTTTCTGTCACAGGGTGTTTAAAGCTTGTGTGATGTCCTGGTGGGGTACAACTTACATACATACATACAAACCAAAGCTGTAATAGCTTTGTCCAAAGACAAGTCAATTGAATCCGGTAATAAAAAAAAAAAACACGGTTAGGAGGGTTTAATGGGTGCTTAAACTGGCCTAAAGATGCAACTGGATACGTAATCAGGGAAGCATGTTATGCGTTATGCGAGACGGCGCATTACACGCTGGATTTGTGGCTTGGTACTGAAAGTGTTAAAGGAAACATGTTGCGAGGATGCAAATTTTCAGGAGCAATACACGGCTGGTAATAATCCACATAGGCACAGTCACCAAAGACTAGCGTCACTGAGAGTATCTTCTTCTTCTGGTTGTTCAGAATTCGGTGCCCATGAGGTTCATTACTGTAGATTTGACCCGCCTTCCTTCACCATTGTGAATGGCCTTCTATTTTCAGGTGGCACTTGGTATGTTGGTCTGCCTGGACACTACCTGCTACTGACGTCACCGGATCGGGCTAACGATGCGTTAACGCAGCGGTTCTCAAACAAGAAATAAACTATTTTCGACAGGGGCGAGGAAAGAGAACTTAAATTTTAATTATCTACATGTCATCTTTATTAATTTCACAATTTTTAGCCGAATTTTCTTGATTAATGCCACGGCACCTCTGGCATACGCTCACGGCACCCCAGGGTGCCTCGGCACCCAGTTTATGAACCGCTGCGTTAACGCATTGTTTGCCCGACCCTGTGACTTTAGCAGCACAGCTACCCGTCGGCCGGAGTCGGTCGTGGCCTGGATATTATCTCTTCTCTGTCTTCTGGGTCTGCTACGTGGTGTAAGGTCATTGAATTTCCTTTTGTGCACAGCTTTAGCCTCTCAGTCATCTGCCATTCTCTCTAAAGGCCTTTTAAGTCTATTTGCCCATGTGAAGACAGTGATGTAACTTAAATAGATTATGGCTGTTTTTTTCTCATTCATCATCCCCCACTGTTTGCATCTTTGATAGGTCCAAAGATTGAGACGTGAAATAGATGTGGTTTGATGAATCAAGGAGCGAATATTCTGACATTCTTCTTCGTCTCAAAGTCTATGCTGATTGGCGTTGGTAGTTATGTTTTTTCACAACCATCTGTCTCGTGTACTTTCAATCAACTCTAACACAGATGATCCTTGCAATGTGGCCCTGTCTATGGTTTATCTGAACTCATCACAATGCTGTACTAACGTTCTGAGTTATATAAAGTTACTACAAACAAACTAGACGACAAACACGTCCCTCAGCAGTTACTGATCTTTATTCGCTGTTCCAACAGCTGCACTGTCCAGTCGCTCCTCGGTGTTCTCGTGGATGCTAAACATGGCTCATTTATAACAATAGTTCCAACTACCTCACGCGGCGATTCTCTTTGCAGTTATCTTCAGGACTATACATCTGGATCAGGCTAACATCTTGTTCCTTGTACCTGTACACATCGATACTCGCAGTCAGTACACATTAAGTTATTCTTCATCTCGAACAATGACACGTGTTCACAATGTCTGCATTCTTCTCAGCCATTCCGCTGCATTCGACCGCACATGAGTGTGTTCAAACTTCAATTGGCTTCCTATGCTTTCTTGGTTCTGTTCTAGTCTCACGCTTTCCTCGTACCTCTGTTCAGCCAGCAAAAGATACTCGTGATATGCTTATCTCACTTTCCTCTTGTTTCACTGGTCCTCTGACCTTGTTCCCCCTATCGGGAACTCTCTGTAATTTCCCTCGGGAATTAACATTTCAATCCTCTATGCCGCGATGTCAAACTGTCCAACATCTCTTCTCACGGTCTCCATCTGCCTTTCTTCCCCTTCAACTGTACTCAAGCTTTTCATGATAAAACCACAGAATATAGCTTGTCTATTTCTGATGTTGGCAATCAGTTTCCTTTGTGATGTAGCTTCTTTAAGGTCACTTTAATTACTCTTTATATCTGTCTAGGGTATTCTGATCATTCGTCAATTAAAAAGTTAAGAAAAGATATACATAGCTTTTAAAAATTCTCTGACTCGTCTCAATTGATAAAGAAATATTGCATATACAATTTTCATTTTGTAAAGTGCTCGATTTTCTTCAGCTATTCTACATTTAACTACTTTAATACGTCGTTCATTTGATGTCATCAGATTCTAAATGCGGGCGTATCGTGAAGATAGGATTATGCCGACTGAAAACCTAAGATATCAAGACAAAAAGCCACAAATGACATTGGTTATGAAAATTGTGTTTACTATCCTGGCTATAGCTTGGATAATAGCCAGGCTAAGATTTGCTTTATAATGACCGATAGCGCTGTTGTTATATAAATTATGAGGAAGGTCAACCTTAGTAAAATTAAGACCTGTGAAATGAGATGCCTGAGAAAATGCGCCAAATCACCTATCTGAGACAATGTTTTAGAACTGATATTTTCATACAGACTGTAGGAACAACACCATGCAGCCAATTCATTGAGAAACAGAAGATCAAACTGTTTGGTCATTTAGTAGGAATACAGCCAGAACAACTACCAACGCAAGCGCTTTACATAAAACGATCTAAAGTGAAATCATGATGCCGCATTGGAGGA